TCATAGTTGTGTAAATACTGTCATACTAACAGCTGTCTGAATTATTTTTGGTTGATTGTACTGTTGTCAAAAGACCCGGTACTTCAGTACCAAGTCGGGACTAAAAAAAAAAGAAAATGTTAGGGTACCAGGTTTTTGTAAGTACCGGTGGTACCGAGTACCTGGTCCTTGATGCGCTCTCCGAAAGCTGCGCAGATGTGTTCTCTCCATAAAAGCACTGAGACCTGACGACATCTAAACGAGGAAACACACCAAACTAACTAAACACTTTAAAGACAGACACCCAGATCAAATGAAACAGCTCAAGCAGGTAAGCTTCAGCCCATACATTGATTTATTTGAGGCGGCCCGCCACAGTATCAAAACCCACTGCACAAATATGTTTTCCAAAAGGCTTTGACTCGGTTGAATAAACATGAGCACTGCTGGCACGGGTGTTTTTATATCACTGTATTTCTGAAGGAACCCGACTGGCTTCAGAAAATGATGGATGTTATTCTCACTCCATCTTGCGTGTAATGCCTGATAAAGCAGTGTTTGTGAGCGCAGCGCTGATGAGATTACAGCGTTACCGGGGAAACCGCTATCTCTGCCGCTCTACAAGCGCCTCCTGCTGGCAGAGCATGAGTGTGCATCTACATGCCGCCGCAAATAGAGTGCACGTCTGTGGGAAACACCGCTTCTGTTATGGATATTATTCAATATTTTAATATGTCGGATTGAAAAGAACATCGCTGTTATTAGAGTAGTTAATCGTTAGCATAAGCGCGGCTAACGCTAATATAATGAGCATTAAAATGAAGTTTCTTTATTAACCATTTAATGCTCCTATAACTTTTATTAGAGTAAAACAGGAGGACATGATGATATTTACTATGTCTACACACCAGAGGCTTTTAAATGAATTGCGAATCTAACATATGCGCGTTAGAGAATGAACAAATGGTTAGCACTGTTTGTGTCATCAGTCAGCAGTTCTGGGCTTTTTTTCATGGCTGAATAACTCTAGGAGGTTTTAAAAGCCCTTTAAAATTAAATATGTACACAGTTTGGATTAAATGAAAGTATAGTCAAATGTTTTAACGAGCATGTGTTTGTGTTTAGCTTTGGTCCCGAGAGCCGTGGACTTTCACTGGTACTGGTACTGAATGCTGACATGCTGGTACCCGGACACCACTAGCTGATTGTAATCTATTACATACCTTTCTATCAAAGTTATCTGACATTATCAAGCTGAATTTGTTCTGACACAGTGTAACTCTGAGTTCTTGTCATATGTTATTACCATTTTCTAAACTATAGAGAATAAACTGTGATAATGTGAGAAATGTTGAAGGTGTCTGAATAAATGTTGGTTTGGCTGTATCTATTTGATAAATGAAGTTAACCGACTAACATTATACACACCCTTTTGGTTTCTGTACCCAATATTTAAGAAATGTACAAATGCAATGAAAATATCGGTATCGGTACTCTGTATCGGCAAGTACCAGAAATAAAAGTATCGTATCGGGCGAGTACTGGAAAAAGTGGCATCGGTGCATCTCTACTAATAATACTTTCTTGTTTGCCGTCAGCATTCAGCAAATACACATTTCTATCATTTAAACCAGGGGTCTCCAACCTTTTAGTGAGTGAGGGCTCCCTGAAGGGACAAAATAGTCTCAAGGGCTACTTGTTTGATATACTCCAATACATACACACACATATATATATATATTGCATTTTATGCAAAAATGCATTTGATTTTTCCCTTAATTCTGTGTTCCATTTGATTTCTTATGGATTCCGTGTTTTACGACTCAGTACAAATTTATGAAACTGAAATGAATTAATACAACTTTAACAATTTAATCAATCTTTTAAAATGTAATCAAATGAAAATCAATTTACAACAAAACTTTGCATTTTTATTTATTTGATCAGACATGATGCTGCACAACAGAACTGTATATATTAATAATAATAAATAATAGCTTGGCTGTATGATATTCCTTAACAATAATATTATTATTACTTTGAGAATTGCATTGTAGTACAGTAGTAATATATTCAGTCACATAATTTCCAGTTAAACCGGACGTTTATTTTGACGGTTTGTCGTGAAGGTCTTTCACAGTTTTAGTTCCAGCGTGTAATGACGGTATTTTTCTCAAATGAAGCTGCATAAAGCTGGTGAAGGGACTCAGAGCAGCTCTGGAGATGAAGAGCATGTGTTCATGTCCTCATATATTGAGACGCAGACGCTGAAAACACAGTCACGTGTGTTTGAGCACCAGACGAAGCTACTCCACACAGACACACAGAGCATGCACTGACTGACTGCTGTAACATGCATTTCTCTTGTGTGATGGGATGTTAGATGAATCCATATCGAGTAGAAATGTCCAGAGCTTATCACCATTATTAACAAATTTGATCATAATCTTGATATGATATAATTTTTCAAATGATTTCAAATTTCTTAAATATTAATTAAAATAAATAAAATTATATCGGCATCGGCTGCCAAAAAACCCGTATCGGTCGACCACTAGTCAAAAGTGAGGAGAGATAACTGAGAAGACGGAGGAGGATTAGCTGCTCAACAGATCCTGAGCTCTTTGACAAACATCTTTCATCGTAAGGTGTGCTCGCTGTACACAGTGTGCGTGATCGCGAAAGTGATCTGCGACTGCGAGCGCTCATTCAAATGCGATTTAAATCAACAAACCCTGCGCGATCACGCAGCGGTGCAGTCAGTCAGTGGGCGCCATCACAGACGACGTCTATAAATAACCTACACAGAACCCCACTATTCCACAAATATACATAATGCAGAGTGACACAATGTAATACCTTGCAAAACGACATTTAAGACTTTTTAAGGGCCTTAATTTTCTCTAAATTGATTAATCAACTTTTAATACTTTTTAAGACCCCGGGACACCCTGCACTCACACACACACACTCACACTCTCACACACACACACACTCTCTCCCACACTCTCTCCCACACACACACACACACTCTCTCCCACACACACACACACACTCTCTCCCACACACACACACACTCTCACACTCACACACACTCTCACACTCACACACACAGTCACTCTCACACACACACACTCACTCTCACTCACACACACACACACACACTCACTCTCTCACACACTCACTCACTCACTCACTCACTCACTCACTCACTCACTCACTCACTCACTCACTCACTCACTCACTCACTCACTCACTCACTCACTCACTCACTCACTCACTCACTCACTCACTCACTCACTCACTCACTCACTCACTCACTCACTCACTCACTCACTCACTCACTCACTCACTCACTCACTCACTCACTCACTCACTCACTCACTCACTCACTCACTCACTCACTCACTCACTCACTCACTCACTCACTCACTCACTCACTCACTCACTCACTCACTCACTCACTCACTCACTCACTCACTCACTCACTCACTCACTCACTCACTCACTCACTCACTCACTCACTCACTCACTCACTCACTCACTCACTCACTCACTCACTCACTCACTCACTCACTCACTCACTCACTCACTCACTCACTCACTCACTCACTCACTCACTCACTCACTCACTCACTCACTCACTCACTCACTCACTCACTCACTCACTCACTCACTCACTCACTCACTCACTCACTCACTCACTCACTCACTCACTCACTCACTCACTCACTCACTCACTCACTCACTCACTCACTCACTCACTCACTCACTCACTCACTCACTCACTCACTCACTCACTCACTCACTCACTCACTCACTCACTCACTCACTCACTCACTCACTCACTCACTCACTCACTCACTCACTCACTCACTCACTCACTCACTCACTCACTCACTCACTCACTCACTCACTCACTCACTCACTCACTCACTCACTCACTCACTCACTCACTCACTCACTCACTCACTCACTCACTCACTCACTCACTCACTCACTCACTCACTCACTCACTCACTCACTCACTCACTCACTCACTCACTCACTCACTCACTCACTCACTCACTCACTCACTCACTCACTCACTCACTCACTCACTCACTCACTCACTCACTCACTCACTCACTCACTCACTCACTCACTCACTCACTCACTCACTCACTCACTCACTCACTCACTCACTCACTCACTCACTCACTCACTCACTCACTCACTCACTCACTCACTCACTCACTCACTCACTCACTCACTCACTCACTCACTCACTCACTCACTCACTCACTCACTCACTCACTCACTCACTCACTCACTCACTCACTCACTCACTCACTCACTCACTCACTCACTCACTCACTCACTCACTCACTCACTCACTCACTCACTCACTCACTCACTCACTCACTCACTCACTCACTCACTCACTCACTCACTCACTCACTCACTCACTCACTCACTCACTCACTCACTCACTCACTCACTCACTCACTCACTCACTCACTCACTCACTCACTCACTCACTCACTCACTCACTCACTCACTCACTCACTCACTCACTCACTCACTCACTCACTCACTCACTCACTCACTCACTCACTCACTCACTCACTCACTCACTCACTCACTCACTCACTCACTCACTCACTCACTCACTCACTCACTCACTCACTCACTCACTCACTCACTCACTCACTCACTCACTCACTCACTCACTCACTCACTCACTCACTCACTCACTCACTCACTCACTCACTCACTCACTCACTCACTCACTCACTCACTCACTCACTCACTCACTCACTCACTCACTCACTCACTCACTCACTCACTCACTCACTCACTCACTCACTCACTCACTCACTCACTCACTCACTCTCTCACACACACACACACCCACACACACTCTCTCTCACACACACTCACTCTCTCTCACACACACACACTCACTCTCTCGCACACACACACACACACTCACTCTCTCGCACACACACACACACTCACACACACACACTCGCACACACCTGCAGCATGCTGACGATCTCCACTTTGTTGAAGAAGAGGAAGGAGGACAGCGTGGACAGGAAGTTGTCCTCGAGGACGGAGTGTGTGGGCAGGATGATGTCCTGGATGTACTGCACGCGGTAGGTCTGGTGGATCTTCTGCCGCAGCTCCGAGTCCCTGATGGGGATCACCTCTCTGAAGCGGGCCGTCTCGGTGAGGAACTGCCGGTGGCTCTTGGGCTGCAGCAGCGCCGGCTCGTACTCCAGGCAGCCCACCACGTCCATGATGCAGTCGTCGGAGAACATCACCTCCAGCAGCGTGGCCTTGTTGAGGAGGAGCAGGCCGCGCACGATCTGGTGGTCTGGTGGATCTTCTGCCGCAGCTCCGAGTCCCTGATGGGGATCACCTCTCTGAAGCGGGCCGTCTCGGTGAGGAACGGCCGGTGGCTCTTGGGCTGCAGCAGCGCCGGCTCGTACTCCAGGCAGCCCACCACGTCCATGATGCAGTCGTCGGAGAACATCACCTCCAGCAGCGTGGCCTTGTTGAGGAGGAGCAGGCCGCGCACGATCTGGTGCAGCTGCTGCAGGCCCTGGCGGTCGCCCGCCTCCTCGCTCGCCCGGAACAGCTGCAGCAGCTTCCTGATGTACCCCGAGCTGAGCAGCGCGAGCGCCAGCCTCTCCCGCCGGACCGGCGACGGCAGCACGGACATCACCAGCTCCTCCAGCTCCTCCAGACGGCCCGGCTCGCAGGGGGGCAGCTCCAGCGGGTGACCGCTCTCCGCCAGCTCCTCCTCAGACTCGTCCCCGGGGTCCTGCGTGATCTCCACAGAGGGATCCTTGCCCTGCACCTGCACACACACACACACACACACACACACTCACACCCGCTCACCATCAGCGGGACACAGCCCCATCCCTCCCACAGAGAGACACCCACCTGACAGATCTTCTCCCAGAGCTCGTCGCAGCCCGCCTTCTCCTGGAAGCTCAGAGCCAGCTCACAGTTCTCCGCCTCGGACCAGACGATGAGCGTGTCCTGGGGAGACAGACGGCACAGCGGTCAGGACCCTGGCCCCGGGCCCCTCGGCGGAGCCCCGGGAAGCTGCTGAACTCACCTGCTGCTTCTGATAGGCGGTGCCGGGCTGGATGGTGGACTCCAGCAGCAGAGAGCCTGCAGCAGAGCCCAGACACAGCTTCATCACACTAAACTCAACGGAGGAGGAGGAGGAGAGAAGCGGCTCTTACCGTCCGCCTCGCCGGTGACCCTCAGGCTGTCGGTGAGGGAGCAGCACACATGCCCCGTGCCCCGGTCCTCCCACTGCCGCTCCTCGTTCAGCGTGTACAGCTTGACGCGCCGCCGGGTGTCGCTCATCGTCTCCAGCGGAACTAGCGCTGACGGCCGCCGCTCATCCTAAGCCCGATCTACCTCTGTCTCTGTCTCAGCACCACCGTCAAGCTCTCCTCGGTCACCTAGCGTCCCTGCAGCAGCCGCGCGGTCAGCCTAGCATCCCTCGGGTCGCGGTTATCTCGCAGTGTTCGCGCGAATGCTCGTCTATCCGCCGATCGCCGCCATCTTGTGTGTCTTCCGCTGCGTCGTCGCTCTTCTGATGGCGCGGGGTTTCCGCGCACGGGCTACGGCGGCCGCGTCGGCACACCGCCGTCACCATGGTTACCGCGCTCGCGGAACAGATGCACACTGCAGTGCGTACTCCTGAGGGTGCAGCAGAATAGCGCTCTGTTGCTTAGTTACGAGTTTAAACCGCTGTGTCAAGCGTCTGAGTTAGTCACAGTTTACACGATCCACATTTCGGTTAATGTACGTCCCTGCAGTACTGGAGAGAAATGAAGAGGTCTTAAGGCCAGAACTCTGCGCATGTGTGTGAGTTTAAAAGTTAATGACCAAACGTGTCTTTATAAAGTGCACCGTGTTGCTGCAAATGGAATATAACGCTGATAACATTAAATACATATTTGTATTCAACAAGTCAGATTTTGATGAATTATCACTCAAACCCTTCTCTACCAGTCGTCTCGCATATCCGCCATGTTTGTAGTTTTTCACACTTTACTGCGTGTTTGTAGTTCTAATGGAATCCTCGTCCACCGCGCAATGTGTTGTGGGTAAGATCAGCCGTTAGAGTGTGACGAATCTGCACGTCGAATGCTAACCGGAAGTAGTAGACCATCCAGCATACTACAGCATACTAAACTACACCGTCCAATCGCTCCTTGTGCAGTGTTCTGTGAGGTGTAGCAGGAGTGGAGGGAGTAAACAGCCGGCTGCTGCGCTCACAGAGGAGACAGCTCCGCCCCTTCGCTAGGAGTGACAGAATAAGCTGATATAATCCCCACTCTGCATCCGCACAGCAGTGAGCAAGGCAATGGCTGCCGGCACCCATCGGCCAGCACAGAGTGAAGCCCAACCATCGCTGGTGTTTCAGGTGTCCAGAAGAGCTGTTCTGATTGGCCGCAGTGCTCTCTCTCTCTCCGTGTCCTCCACAGAGGCACACATCAGTCTGCACCAGTGTTCACACAGATAGGCCGTGCCAGAGGGAGAGAGCGTGGAGCTAGTCATGTGCAAGAGAAACCAGCGTTTCAGACTCGTAGCAGCAGATGCACGCCGCTGTAGTTATGCACTTGTGTTCGTGCTAGACAGAGCACCCAAGAAAAACATATATGTGTAAGAAAACATTCTACACGCGTGCACATCTCATTAACTGATGCTGAAAACCGGTCTTCAGCTGTGTGAAGGTGTTCTCCTGAGCCCATTGAGTTTTAACAGACCAACTAAAGCGTGCAGTGGGGGGGTAACTGAGAATGAATGGGGAAATCACGTGAGAGGAGGCAACACCTCCATCACGATATGATTGGATATGACTGGTTATGTTCGGCTGTGATTGGTTCATGCGATAAATCCCGCCTCTTGTGTTCATGTGTGTTCTACGTTCGCGAATCAGTCTGAATGAACAATATAATGGCATTAATGGGAAGACTCTGACCCGAACACCAGAAATAAAGTATTGTGTGAGCTCCTTCTTCATCAGTGTCAAAGTGGAGGAGAACCGATCCAGCCTGAACACGAGTACAGACACGAGAGAAGCCCAGCACAAGCTCCGTCAGATCCTCAGTGAACGAATACTACAAATTATACACCATCAACAGAGCTGAAAATTTATTGTATTTTCACAATAACATCAACTTTACAGACACATAAATTCATTAATTATTTAACATATTATTCTGATATGTGCCATTCTGAGGTTGTACTTTTGATATATTGGTTATGTTAATAACTTTACTCAACACTCTGGTATGGTGCTCACAGTTATGTGAATACATTAGCTCAGGAGATGAGTCGATACATCATGTTGTTCAAGAGAAGGTGATGAAACGGTATTTTAATAGAATTGTTAAAGAAGTGTATAAACAATGCAGGTGCATTTTGAAACATTAAACTGCGCTGCCACTAACGATTGTTTTGTTAAATGAGCGATCTACTGATGATTTGGTATTTTATAGACTTAAATGAACAGTAGCTTAAACTGTACATCTTTAAAAATAGACTTAAAATATCTGTAACGATGAGGCAATAATAATTGGTTTAAATAAAACATCAAAAGTGAGTAATCATATGGTTTCATTGAACAACACTCTTAAAATACATTAAGAAATGTACATTCTAAACAATAAACCTATGTACAATATGTATTATTAAAATGCTTACAGAGGGCGCCAGCGGCCCAGTGATTGCATATCAATATTTGTTATGTTTTCAACGGCGCACCTTTCGTCCACAGATGAACGTTATAATGAACCCAAACTCTTAGCATATGCAGAGATGAGTTTGTTGACTGAGTTGCGGAGATGTGCTCCTCGTAACAGTGAAACACAGCACGTTATTGGAAACAAACAGATAACGGTACAATTCAGAATAAGATAATGCATGCTTTGTCAAATGTTTAGCCACAAAATATGCTGATATTGCGAGACACATTTTCACCTCGACAAGAAATATCCACACGTTAGGCACGAGATCTAGTCAAGACCGGGCGGATTCCCTGAATTTACCTTTTTGATGAATAGAAAATGAAGAGTACCAAAGTGTTAAAGGAATAGGGATCTCTATGCTGTTCCAAACATGTCGTTTTTAGAACATAATGTATGGAGACGCAAAACTTTTCCATGTCCCTTAAAAATATGACTTTTGGCCTGTAGGATAAACACTGGTTTATTTCACTAACATTTAGAACATTTCTGAAACCATTAACATTTAGAATACAACTCATATTTTTCCATTTTATTGTGTCTCTTTTCCAGTGCAATTATTTATTTTTTGTCTTGTTGCCTATTTTTGTAATTGTGATTATTTCAAGCCAGTGTTTGTACTGCGTGCTCATTTTCAGGAATAAAGTACAATAGTCATGATACACTGGCATCGCTTTGGAGAAGTTGTCTATGGCTTACATTCATCATCATTACTAACCAACACATTTGAAGTTTTGGGTTATCACAATACTTGCTAAAAATATTAAGAATAAAATTCAGAGTACATTTCGATTGTTATCCCACATTTAATTTGAAGACTTAAAAAAAATACACTATAAAAGGCAATGTTGTCAAACATTTTATATTTCAACATGAACAACACAACAGCAGAATAAGTATAAAAAAACTAAAAACAAAAGCATTGTTGTCAAACATTTCAACATGAATAACAAAAAGAAAGGATTAAGAAACTGAAATCTTTTAGGTCTGCATGAAATAAAAGCAGGGCTGGACTTTTCTTCCCTATTGTGACGTATATCTGAGTGAAATGGTTGCTGCATCCCAATTCGCCCATTTATACTGCGCCCCAACACTAACAGTATGTACTTACTGTAAATCAGTAAATCAGAAGACAAGCTTTAGGACATACTGCCACATCAGAAAATGGTCTTTTATGGATGTTCTGTTGCTTAGTTACATGCATCCTGTGACCATAAACTGTCCTGTCAATCATCCTGTAACAGTTAACATACTTCACATTTAACTGAATATAATCTAATGTGTAATTTAATGTAACGCCTCTCAGACAACACACGATCCTGACTTCAGTAGCGCTTGAATACCCGTCTGGGCGAGTATTCACACAAAACAGTTGGATATATCTTAAGCCAGGAAAAACATCTGATGTGTTAACATTATATTAGATCCATGCATATGGTCATTATATGCTGCCTTCAGTCATTAATGTGAAACAAACAGTAAAAGAGAAAAGTTAATCACTGCTTTTGAGCGACCAGTTAATTTGTAATAAATATACCAAAGACTAAGCAGTGATTTTTACATTTCTTAATTAATTCCATTAGTTTTTCTTACTTCAATGAAATTTACAGAACTGAACAGGCATTCATTTCTTATAATTGTTCTACTATTTGTAGATGGTTAGTTTTAATAAACTGAAATGAACAGAAAGCTACATTGTGATTATTAAAGTAGCAATTGACCCTTTGCAAAAACCCTCCCTCCTTTGTAACTGTTGCTAAGTCCGACACACAACGCCGCTGTCACACTACACATGTTCTCACGCAGTGAAAAACACAACCGCGGACCGAAGAGGAAACTGACGGCACTCCGACAGACAAGACAGAGGCTTCACAAAACAAGTTCACCACATACGCCAGGTTTATCTGACTTACTGCCAGCTGATTCGGTTCAAAATGAGTCAGACGGAAATAAGCCTGGCTTAGTTGGTAAACTTGTTTTATGGAACAGGCCCCAGGTTACTTCTGGTATGAAATAAGGTCTCAGTTTAAAAAGGTTTTTAAAATTTTTTTTTTTAAAGAGCCATAGCAGAATTGTTGTGCGTCTGTGTTTAGTTTCTGATTGAATCAGTGTTTTGAACGAATCGTGTGAATCAATGATTTAAATATCGATTCATAAAGAGAGCCGTTTGATTCATTCCTGAATGAATCAGCCGTTTGAATGAATCAAATGAGTTACATTGATTTAAATCAGAATTAGGACTTTCTTGTACCATTTAAGACTGTGAGGACCCGTGGAAACCCTGCTTATGACACCTTGCAGTGCTATCATTGAGCCTGAGAAAAGAACAATGCTGCAGACAAAAGGTAAATGCAGTTATCGCCGTTTTCCATGTTTGTGGAGAAAACATTTTTACATGGCTTTTTAAAAATCCCGGGAAGCAGGTGTTTCGCATGCGTTTGGCCAATCAGCGTACACTTATGTCACTGGTAGTTCCTAGAGAACAGTTTTAGACCCTACTGTGAAGTAGGAACTAATTTAGCTTCCCCAAACAGTGCAAACACGCCAAAAAACAGGTACTTCCGCCAATAGTTCTAGGAACTATGAAAAGGTTCCTCCGCTGCGAAAGCCCCTATTAAAACATTCAGGGAATGTACAAGCACAAAAAGCTTATATCAAAGAAACCACAGGTACAATTCAAACACTTACTGTCTCAAGGGTGCTTCCAATCTACCCTCCAGATAACATTTCAAAGATGAAGCCAAAACCTCATCACGGTCTTTTAACGTCCTGATGAGAGTTAAGGATCCCAGAAGAACAAGGTTAGAGGGCTTCCTGGGTTTCTTTAACTGCGTTTGCTTGTTGAATCTACAATGAACAA